ATGTGTGTGGGGGGGGATCGACGGCAGAGGAGCAATTGATGAGGCAATAGTCCGTCGAGGCAGCAGCAGCAGCAGCTAGCAGCAGAGGTCGTTGACCACCACTTGTTATCAGGAATATTCATTTGAAACTAAACTACGAGGAGGTGGAGGAGGAGGAGGGAGGACGAGGAGAAAACAAATTCTATATCCATCCATGAAATGCACCCTAAGGTCAGGAGAGGAAATGGGCGGCCGCGGCGGCCGCAGGTTGCGTGCTGCTGCTTGTGTTATCAGCAGCAAAAATGCACACCTCACTACTACTGCTGTCTATCTGTATGTCTGTAGCTCTCCGCTCTCCTGTTATGTGGCTGGCTCATCATCGATCACGCAATGAATTAATCCACCCACGTCGGCGGCAAGATAGCGTCGGCTTCCACCCACGTCCTTTGTTATTGGACGAGGCAGGCAGGCAAACCAAAGCTGATTATTGTCATTACTATGCCATACATGCTGTTTTACGTTTGGTCGCAGGTTTGTTTACTCAATCGCTCGCTCGACTCGGTTTATATACAGCAGCGGGGACGACAGCTACGACGGGTGTTCGTGGAAAGCAACGCGTAGGAAGGCAGCAGGTAGACACTACTCGGCTTCTAGGCTGAGGAGTTGTTAACAAGCATCCTGCAAATCTCCTGCTCTGCTGCCCCTACCTTGCTCACGAAGAATGGATGGTCAGCGCCACACGCCCGGAAGGTCTTTTTCAGTCTTTCGGTGGCTAGCCTGCTGGGCGGTGTAGGTCATCGCAGATAGCTGCAGCTGATTGCTGAACTCCCAGCTGCTGCTGATTATGATGCTGATGCCGCAAGTAATCTGAAGCTCGCAAATTACTTCTGTCGCCGAAACTGAAAATGCAACAGTAGTATAAATATATAATCGCACGGAAGGAATAGGATCGGATTTTTGCGTTGCGTATGTATGTCTCCAACAGAAAAAGACTCGAGGGTGCGTTGTCATATTATTGCTAGGAACGTGACATGACTACGTACGGCATGCAAGTTGCTGGCATGACTAATAGCCCCTTGGGGACCCGCCACGGGATGGAGCGATAGGCAGCAGCAGCAGCAGCAGCAGCAGCAGCAGCAGCAGCAGGACACCAACTTGCCTCGGGATGCCCTACTAGCTTCACTGTTTGCTTCGAACACGTATAAAACATATAATAATGGCGGGCAATTCGTTATCGTGCCGCCTGCCTGCTATTATTAGCTGCATAGATACATCGGTAGAAGCAGGAACAACATGGAACGTATGTAGGCTCACCGAAACTCAATTACCCCCTTTGGACGCTAGTCTGGGCTGATGTGCGGTGTTTTCCTTTCCTCCGTGGCTTTTAGGCGTTGTACTATTGCCCTTGGGCCTTCGGCTCGTATGGGTAGTCTTACAGGTATGGGGTCACACACCCCCAACCATAACACACACACATATCAGCAACAGGTTTGAAACCTTCATGACCGTGTAATGCGGTGGCCAGCAGCGGGTGCACGTATATAATGTAGCACGTATAGCGTGTGCTGCTGATGGCTGCTGCTTATGCGACAAGACTTCGGAAATTTTGCTTCGGCTGACGGCCCCCCGAGTCGACTGCTGACGACGACGTCACCTCGTGACTTGATAACAACCAACAGCGGGTTCCTGCTAGGTTAGCATTGGTTACCGAGATTCGCTGCTGGGATATATGCTTGCAGCCTAATAATGCAGCTTCCTTTACCGTCCATGGCCCCCCCGGCTTTTACGGACACCCCGCACTTGTGCGGAACTTGTAACTAACTTTAATAAGCTGTAAATTACCCTAAGGAGAGTAATGTTAATAAGTCCACCTAAGTTAAACGCAGATAGGCAGGCTAATGAAGCCCCCCGCCTATTTACGAACAATGATCATTAGTTATATATTCCAACCTTTTAGACGGTATACCACTATGGCACTAGACGGCGCACACGTCGTCGCAACAGACCGTCGGCGGCGGAATTCCAATGGACACGTACAAACATAATATATACATGCATTGCCGCCCACGCAAACATGCATGAGTGGTCCTTAAAGGCTTTTAAGTTCTGTTTCTATTGACAAGCTTATTATGATATAGCCACGCATTCTCATTATATATTTCATGAGCGAGCGATGAGCGAGTGAGCCAGGGTACATACAGCAGCAGCAGAAGCGCGCAGCATAATATGCAGACAGAAAAATGATGCTGCTGATGGAAAGGTTGCACAAGTTGTTGATAAGTGTCCCTTGGCCATCCAGCGGTCTATCTTGGCCAAGCAAAGCGCAGCAGGCAGGCAGCATGTGTAGTAGCAATCAAACATAGCCGGCTGTATTTCATTGTTGTGATGGCCAGTGGGTCTTGAGGGGCATGCATGCGTATCAAGCGTATCAAGCGTGCACAAGGGTCCGTGGCAGGGGTCCGTGGCAAGGGGCCGTGCCAAACCGGGTCCGCAAGGCTTCTGCTTGTGTGGGACGGCGGCAAGATCTCTCCTCAACAGAGAATACCTGGTAAAGGCTGTAAAGGTGCAACAGGCAAAAACTGGAAACCCCCTTCCCTCCCTTTTCCCCCCCCGGGGGTGATACCACAAAATCAGGCTAGTTGGCCTCGGGTTCCGTCCGCTGCTGCCAATACCCCTCCCCCCTCTAATAGCCAAGGGTGGCGGAGCTACAGCTCATCCATCGTCACCACAACCACTGCCACCAGACAGTGTCTTGACCCGCGTAGCTATACATACCATGACTAACCAACAGAACCAACTAATTCCCTGGGGACCCCAACCGT